TTTTTAAAGAAAACCTCTCGCACGACCGATCAGCACCCATCCACAGAAAGCCGGCCGTTGACACGGAGCGCACTGACTGAACATCATCAACCGAGGCATCAGATGCCATTCACCCCTCTACCCTACCTCTCTCACCGTGTCACTCAGCCCTGTATACATGTAGTTTGCAATAATCGTATCACGCCCGTCCTCGATTCGGTAAATATTGTAATAGGGCCTGTTTAACCCATATAATTCACTCGCACGCCCCGCTGCCGTATAATTAAAATAATACGCCCGGGCGGTAATCCGAAAGGGGGTAAGTGAATCAGATACCGGTGTCGGTTTCGCAAAAACAGAAAGAGGAAAAAAAATCCTCAGCGAGAGAGGCCGCAGGGAGGATGTTGGCAGGATCGAAGCTAACCAGCCCGGTGGGTTGCGCCCCGATGAATGAAGAACAAAGCGCATGGGAGGAAATGCTCGAACTGGCTTGAGATGATATGGCCAAGCATCTAGAAGCGCTTTTGCTGGCGTGCGTGTGATGTGAGAGAGCGCGTATAGCTGGCGATACACGGTGAGGGGGGGGGGGGGGGTATAAGTACCCAAGCAGATCGGGGGCATGCATGCACGGAAAGCAGCTCGAGAGGGGGGAGAGAACCCGTGCGATAGGGTGGGGAGAGAGAGCGAGAGAGAAGAATAAAAACCTCTTGAAATTCCTCGCCCCCATTGATTGATCTGGCCTAAGCAGGCCGTTGAACCTGGCCTGCGGAGGTGAGTCGGGGAGGGAGAAAGGGAGTCAATACATGGGCCGGGGGTCATGGGGGAATGACCGGCCATCTAAGGTAAGAGAAAAGGCACAAGGAAGTGTGCTGAGTTCATGTCTTACCTTCCTTCATTCTTGCCGGTTTCTTTAATTTGATTATTTCCAAATTAATAAACCCCAACTGCGACGAGCAAGATGCCAAATTATTGCGTAAACACAATAATTAAAAGCACACCAACATGGGTTCATCCAAAAATAGGGAGTAATTTTTTTAGGTATAAAAAATCCCATCAATCTCATCTTTTAATAATACGTTGGCAGTACAATGGAGCCATAACAAATTCAACTTCGTCAGTTTGTTGAACAAATTCGGGAGCTTTTTCCTCGGAAAATGACCAATCAGGAGAACAAAGTACAGTTGCCCGGCTTACGATATTAATACATTGTGAGTACTGTACTTTGCATGTCACGCGCAGGTCTTAATTGAAACTGACTTGGGATGTCTCCATCCTCCCAGCCGTGTGAAATGACTAAGTCTCCCCACGGAAACTTGAGATACCGCAAACAACCTCTTCGTCACTTCACTGATATTGTCCGCGTGTCTTCTAGGAATCTCGACCGTTCTTGGTCTGGTCAACAAAGCATATCACAGGGTTCGTAATAACAAAAATTGCCATAGTTGATATGATATTATTGTATTATAATGAGAACCTAACATGGCTTATTATATAATAGTAAACAATATGAACTAGCTAATCAGAAATCACACACAACAAGTAAAAGTATACAATTTGATTATTTATCTACCAACTTTACAATATCAAATCGATTTCCGTTGAGTGAAAAGCAAACACTCGAAATTGCGAGTGATGCATTTTATCCTTCTGTAGCGAATGGTAAAAAAAAAAATCCAATGTCACCATGAGAGAGGGCGCTACGACGAATCTGAACTTGCAAGATCCAAGTCAACGACGTCTTTCATGTTAGGCGAAGGACTACATCCATCACAAACTCGGATATATGAATTGACAAGTATAGAAGCGCACGTTCAATGCTCTTTGCTCTTTCTGTTGTATTATTTCAATAAAGACGCTGAAGTACCACAAAAAAAACCCAACTTCATGTGGTGATCGACACATCTTGTTGCTCTGTTGTACAAAATTTGAGGCGAGAGTTGAGTCACAACGGCCGCGAGAAAAGAAAAACGATGTGTTTACATCTCATGTACAAAATTGTAAAATAAAAAGCAATCAACGGGAAAGAGCTATACCATGTGCTTATGATGAGACAGGCTGAAAAACAACAAATTCACAGTTTAATTATTTCTTTTTAAGTTGCACACACGGCAGGAACCGAAGTACAGACCAGACCAATGATTTGCATTGTTAAGCTTAGCCATAACCAACCATCGAGGAGAAAAAGGAAAAAAAGAGAAAGGTTTATACAAAAATAACGAATTGCAGAATCACTGATGGCCTGCAGGGGGCAATGACCGCTTGGTCATCGACACGGGATCCTATACTCATACAGCCAGGGTGAGTCCGTTTCATCTATTGTGAGGAACAATGTTTGAGTTGATATCTCATTGTGTAGTATTTTCATCTGCATTTTCGGATTGGGTTTCGTCTGCGCGAAGTGACCATGGCTTGAAAATTGAATCTAATTAATGACGGTAATAACAGCAGTGGTCAGTGCACGATTGTATTATGTGTGTGCATTCTATAGGCCTTTGAGTGGCCTTGCAAACAAAAGAAATCAAATCTATAGCTGAAAGGTTATTCAAGTACATTTGGATTGAATTGAAACATTTAGTTGGAATCGCACTGTGTTTATGAAGATATGAGTATATTTTCAAATTTTTTTAAATATTGCTCGAATTAGTAATTGCTCAAAAATAACGAGAGGAGTAAATCCATCAAAGCACAGTGCTTATATTCATTACCACAGTCCCAAAAGTCGGAGTGTTTTTCTTTTTTCTTTTATTAGAAAATGTTTTGTATAGGAATAATTTGGTGCAAAATGTCGTTTTAGCTAAATCTGCAAAACATGCTGGCGGATTTAAATCAAACCTCAAAGATACACAACGTTTCAGTGTTCGAGAATGCAGAATAATTTGGCAGGTTCACTGGCTTATTCAGATTCTATCAGGCCGATGAATACTGTACTGTGATGCGATGGTTTTGAATGGACATGTAAAGTTATTGTTTTTAAGAGCTTGACTTTTTACACCCCGGCTTCACGCGTCCGATAAATATACCCCGTTTAACACTATGAACTCTTCAATCAAACAAACTTTGGCGGGCAAAAGAATGTCCAAAACAAACTGCCAAGATCGGCAACATTAGTCCCAGCGGGGCGATGCAAGTACGCCTAACCCCTCTATCGTTGAGACACCATCAATACACCCATTAATTCTCCCCATGAGAGAGGAAGTGCGGATTAACGTCTATTTGTCTCAGAAAACTACAAGCTTTTGTAGACACTTTCCCCTGAAAATAACAGGCAGGTGCTCGGCAATCTTCGACCGTGGGCCGACGGAGAAACAGACCCCCGTAAATCACTCAAAAAAAATCATCATGGCGGTGTTGAGCGGTCGTATTAGCATATTACACCACTGTAAATCACGACAAAATACCGCCTGAGCCCTTCTTAGAATGTGAAACACTTGTCGTATTTCATCGGTGATTATACGAGAGAGAAAAAATAAAGTTATTTTCGGTGGAAAGCGTATAATAAGCAAAGACTAAAAAGATTGGATTTTAAGCTTGTTTACCCGACGCGCCAATTTCAGACTTTTCTTTTCATGAGAAAGAGGCCGGTTTTTATGAAGAAAAAGTCGAGGACAAAACTCCAATTGCTATATCCCCTGCTAATTTGGATTCCAAAGTTTTCCTTTTCTAATCGGAAAGGAACTACGATTTTTCTTCCATCAGGAAAGGTAATCTTTGATGAGAGTTGTACAACATGAAGAGCTCCAAAAACTATGTTGAAGAAACGAAAATAAGTTACTTAAAATTTGCCGTTATCGGTGCACCTTTTGTTGTTAATCTTTCAACAAGAAAGTCCTGGAAACTACAGTTTCAAGTTGGCATTCGACAGGAGTTTAAGTGGTTAACAGCTACAACAAAATTATTTTATGGAGCCGTGAAATATTGTGCAAAATAAACTAAACAGTAACCAAACAGTCGTCTTTGTCACGCTGCCATAGTTCAAATTTTTAGCAGAATATTTCAGAAAAAAAGTACACAGTTAATATTTCACACCAATCAGAAGTCGCAGCCTGGAAAAGACATTGCGTTAAGGCTTTGACAAATTGCAATGGCTTGTTCAACGATGCACAGAACGAGTTTCTACGAGAAAGGTACCACAAGTGAGAACTGACTTTCATACACTAAATTTTAGTTAGGACAATTTCAAAGTACGATCACTCACCACACGTGCTGTTATGATAAGAAGTAGTGGCTTAAACTGGCTCTGGCTCGTCAAGTATGAGTATAGTTGTTCACATTAAGTTCGAGTGCTAAGTTTCTTCGTGACTAGTAAAGGACGCATGCGTGTGGATGTTCCCCAATCTCATACCACGATCGACAGTGTGATCATAGCATAACTTATAATCTTAATAAGATGTGAGAACAAACTCTCATACATTCCAGCTTTTCATTTTTTTATGTGAGCGTAGCAACATACAATCAGTGAATTCTGAACCCCTACCACAGTAACTCGTATAGTATGCCAGCTAAACTTCGTGGAGAAGTTCTACTGCTTAATACGAACGGCGCAGGCTATCCAGCACGTACACAAAAGAGAGAATCTTTACAGGGTCATGTAAAAACATCATAGTTGGGCAAAAGTTAGCACACATAATAATACTCAAGGAAGCTTTTTAAGTAAGACCATGACATGTTTATGTTCATCAACAGATTGAGCAGTTTTCTGTATGCTCGTTCTATCGAACAGCCAAATGTAATGCTGTAAACTTTCCTCGGAAGCAGCAAAGTGGTTTATGATCTCATGGTAGTACTTATATATAAATGCTTGGATTGTAATTAAAATTCATGCAAAATACTACAGAAATCCAGGAAGATGAACCCTAAGCCACTTGTTTCAACCTATAAACCCCCAACCAACAACAAAAGTCAAATCCTTTCTGAATGAGGTCTGACATAATTGCCAATTTACGTAGCTCAACATTGATCTTCCTGGATCCGCTTCCTACTTGGTAATGAAAGACAGGAAGAATGATTTTGCACATGCGTACTTTCACTGTTGTCCCGGACGATCTTGTGCACCTGAGCTGCCGCAGAAGACACCTGGTGTGCGTCGGTGACGTCCATCTGAAGCACATGGAGACGATCCGAGCACTGCCCACGCAACTCTGTTGCCCCCTCCCCGTCGGCGTACAGGCACCCAGCAAACACGCGGTAACCCAGCTTGTCCAGGTAGCGGGCCAGTGCGTTACCGATCCCCGTGTCACAGCCGGTAACCACCACGGCTTTACCGGCAGATCCAAGGCGCTTCTCGGGCGGTCCCAGCCAGGTGAGCAGCAGCAAAGCCACCGCCGGCACGGCCGCTATCAGCCTGACCCAAAGCGTACACGGCAGCAGGTACACAACGAACAGGTAGATGAACAAAACCAGGCTTCCCATGGCTGGGTTGTAATGTATACACAATCACAGGTGTGCTGTATCGGAATAAGTGACGCGTGGTCCGTCGCAACAGGACTGACTGTTTGACAGTTGCCGATAACTCTTTATATAGCTAGAGACCTCCTGGTTGTGTACAGGTGGGCAGTATACTCCGTACCTCATATCCTGAGGTCAAGCGAGGACACGATGCTACGATTGGGCAGACAAGCAAACGACGATTATACAAACGCCCCACTCGGGGGGGGGGGGGTGAAAGAGAGACGCACAGCAAAGTCACCGCTCTTTAAATCAAAGCGCATCTATCGATCCAAATAGTTCGCAAAATAGGGATGAAGAGTTGAAACGAGGACGAGCTACACATGCCGGGCAGGGAAAAACCCAGTTGGATTGAGAGCAAAAAAAAAGAGCGGCATGGGGAGCAAAGAGAAAATGTGTCAAGCTTTTGTTGCTCTTTTTCCCCTGGATCTCGTTGTGTGTGAGTGACACAGCTGTCGGCAAGGGTTTTTTTTCCCTCGCTGGATTGTTTGAGGCAGTCACGCACGCGCGCTCCATTAACAGCATTGTGTGGATCACCGTGGGAGGGAGTATCGTGCCGGCCATGACAATGCTTTTAATAGGGTCACACAGCACAGAGAGGGAGAGAGGGGCCCGGATTGTTGGGATATATATCGAGGGAGGTTAGAACTCCCAGTGATAACACTGCCAAGTGGCTTTGACCTCCTATACGGGGGAGGGTTGGTCGACCTCTCAGCCACTAACCCCCTTGGCTGCCTGACGTCAGACCGACAAGAGCTACCCCCGGGAACACGGGCCATCCTGGGTTGAGATAATCCATCGCAGGCCCATTAATTTGATTAATCCTAAACTTTGCCTCTGTGTGTGCGCTTTACGGAAAGGGGCCGGCCCGCGTGCGACGGTGTTTACCGATCTCCAAAGCCCGGCATATAATACAAACGGTTATCGACATTCGAGTTCAATGGTAATTATTAACAGGTTGGCGACAACTCCCTGCATGCTTTGCCAGCGATACAAACCGGTCGCACGTTATTAGTAACGTATGGTAATCAGGATGGCTGCACTGCGTTCTTCAAGAAAACAAAAAAAATCGAAATGAGAACAATCTGGCTTCCGTGGGAAATTTAAAACTGTCTTTGGACAAAACGGGAAATGTGACCGACATGAGTTGGCATGCCTCATCAATCACAGTTGCAAAGTTTTAGTCCATTGTGCCACTTCAGCGGGTGTCATTTCTGAGACTTGTGCCTAGATGTCATTGTCGTGTATAACATTCCTTGGATTATCGTTGTCTTGATTGGTGTCATTTTCAACGATGTAACTGTCGTCAGCGTCCGTTCCAGCATCCATTGTCGGTTTTATCATCAAGTTTTATACCGTGGACACTTTGTTATTGATCCCGTATCCACCTCAAAATGCCAACATCATCATCCTATTGTCCACTGAATACGGTGTTCGACTCATGCGCCGTGGTACGTGGGTTCGCACCCTGATGGAGAACATGGTGCTTGTGTTCCTGGGCAAGACGCAATTGCCTCTTGCCACCCAGGAGTGGGTACCTGTGAAGGTAGAGACCAAATTGTGCTAAAGTTCGAGCTGCTGCAGAAGAATGGTCTCATTCCTGATGAACGTGGATAATAATGTTGTATTAAAGCGCATTTAGAAACCTTAGGCATAAAGCATTTTATAAGCACCACACTACATCATTATTATCCTCCTGGCGAAATTCCTACCGTCTTCACGTTGGTTTCTACCTCACACTCAAATTTTGTCAATTGAATTACCACCATACCATCGTCGTCATTACAACTCAACCACCTTACTGTGATTCTCTTCTTATTAAAAAAAAAACACGTAAACCTATCTTCAAACATTCTGGTGCCCCCAAAAAAATCGTTGTTGAAATATCGACACTGAAATTGTTTGAAACATTCTAAATATTTAGACTTATCTTAATTCCGGTACTTTACCCTTCGGGCAATATTTATAACAATTTGGCTGGTCCAGGGTTACATTGACGTCGAGTTAAGGCCCATAAATAATGCAACTGTTCCGTAATCTACGTGACCCGTTTTGTAGTCCGTGCAGTCACCCTGTCGTTCCAAAGTATGTCATGTCACGGGAACACATCAACACATCGAGAGCTCATGTTGACTTAAACTGTGCATCATCTTCAAAGCAGGTCGTTGCCTTTTTAAATTGTAGCTCGAAATCAGACCGTGGAACACAAAAGTGCAAAGGGGGCCAACGGCTTGGTACCAAGCAAGGATGCATGAGATTTCGTGGAGTTCATTGAACGGTACGTTTGTATTTTATTGAATCACTGTAGTCGTGTACGCTCGCCCGGTATTTAAACGTCGTGTAGTCAAAATGTACGGGTTTTTTCTTGATTTATGAGTTCGATGTGTACATTGGCTTAACTAGGGGGGAGGGGCTAGGGGTATTTCCCACACTCGGAGGCCTATGCCCCGTGCCCCCCCCCCCCCCCCCCCGAGGCCTATTCCCCCTTCCCCCTCCCCCGCTCAGAATGTGGCTTAACTAAGGGGGAGGGGCTAGGGGTACTTCCCACACAAAAGGCCTTTGCCCCCTAATAATTTTGGGGATCGGGAAGGTAGAACTATATATTTTGTTAACAACTAGTAGTGCCTCATCCCTTAAAAAAATCCCCATGTGCCGTGGACCGCAGTTACGCCACTTCATGTATGATTGCCTCACATTGTTTCTAGATTGGCATCAATGCATTGTTGTAGGCCTACATAACTCTGTTATAGACTCGTGCTGGATTCGTATTCAAATTCGTATTCAAACGCACGTTTACAAACCCTCGATCGACTGATGTCCTCATTGGGTATAGAATAATTCAGAAGTTACCCGTGTGAAAACGAACTTCGCACGGGGCCAATCGCAGAGCGTTCATTGCACCGGGATGGACGATACCGAAACTACACACTTCCGTCATGAACCCAATAGTCAATGGACTTTTCATTCCAAGGCTTCATGTTTTCCAATAAAGTGCTTTGAAAATCGCGTGTCATGGTTAGGTACGGGTAGGCCCTATGCCTTTTTAATAATGGCCTATTTATGTCATTCACAGTCATGCAGACCCCTATATCAACATTGCGCAACAAAAGCTTATGTGGGTCTTTCATGTCTGTCCCGTGGCTTTCTAGTTCGGTATTCTAAATGCGCATGCTCATGTCAAGATTTTACGGATAATATATATTTGTTTCACATCGGGATAAACACAGCGGATAAAAGAAGGACTACCCAACTCTAATTGGCAATAATACCGAACGTGTTCTTATTCCGTGCGATCCAATTGCCCGCACATAAATGTACCAAGCCTGAGTACTGTATAACATGGACCAGTCAAGGTTTTTTTGGAATTTGAACTTCACAAAATTCACATTTTCCGTTGGAAGGCCCCACCCTCCACGATTTTGCTCGCTGTGAACATCTTCCAGACTTGATCAAGTTGATGCGCGTACGCGCAGTCGGAATAGCAAGTGGCTCATCATAATGAACGTTACTAAAGTTGCTTCCCCGAGTTTATTCGGTCCAAGTTGCAGGAGAGGGGGAACTTACGGAGTGCCTCATAAAAATGGTTTTAAAAAAAAGGTTTGCCTTCCCCAAATTCCGAGCGGGCAGGGAGCACAGGCCTGCTGGGGGTGTTTATGGGGCAGCCCCGCCCCCTTTAGTTACCCCTGTGGGCTAATGCAACATTTGGGGATCAATTAATGAAGTCTACCAAAGCAAACCGAAAGAAAATTAATATCCAAATTAAAACAAAGCGAGGTGCAGATTGAACAGTTTAAGAGAATGGGGGTAGAGAACCTTGAGCCGGGCTCCTACCAGCGATCGGGCTTAATTAAATTATAATCTTCATTGTTTTAAATGGAATGTTCCGCTGAAGAGTGAAGGATGGGACCTTGCCAAGACATACACATACCGGCTGGAATGTCTTGAAAGACATACAAGGGGGCAATAACCGGGCCCCGCGCGAGGTGGGGGAGCGAGGGTGTCCCGCTCAGAGTCCTTCGCCTCGTCAAATTGGACGTTTATGTAACCGTTTTGCTATAGCAATCATAAACCCATGCCTTGATTCATGGATGGGTTGTTCAAACAAACAAGCACGCGGCTGACTCGCTGAGATTGACGAGAAGGCCGTGTGTGCATGCAATGTATGGCACGGGTCAAGAGCAGAAACGTGCAATTTATAGTGTTACCTCTCCATGTTCGTGTGCTGCAGCGTAGCTAGCTACAGAGACCATTCATGCAGGACTTTTTTTCTTGATAAATCAGAGGCAAAGTATCACAGGACAAAAACAGTGGTTGATTGCCTTTTATTCCACAATTCCTGGCTTTTTAAGACTTGCAAAACCGTTTAAACAGTGCCAAATATATATATATATTTTTGGTTGGTTGGTTCATGGTTGCTTCAAGAGACCGACTCACTAACGCACTGCATGAATGCCACTTGTGAGATGGGCAGCGCTATTGTACAGGGGGTCAAAAAAAGTTTACACTTTTTCAGAGGCATTTTTCTCAAAATTTAAGAGGCATGTTGAAACTGTTTTAACATGCTCCTATACTACAAGACCATGGTGGTATATACATGTAGTGAAAACAGCATTGACAATAAAGCTCAAGTTAATTATATAGCAGCCATTTAGAGAAAAAAAATGGTCAAAAACTAGTTTTCCGCGTCAACGGCAGTCATGCAGTTCTTTGTGCGTGCAGTACTATGGTGGTGGCCATATTTCACATACTTGCGTGTGGACAAACTGGTGATTGACTATCTTTCTTTAAACTATCGCCGTAATGTTTTAAGCCACATAAAAAAATGAAATTGAGGGTATAGAATACATAAATAGTCTGGCACCATCCCATTCAACAGTTCACAATTGATAAATACATTCAGGGAACACGACAAAATGGCTTCCTCGCAATTAAGGTCAATTGGAGATCAGATGATGACAAGCCTTCCACAGCTTAGCCATTCTGAGTCAATGGAATAAAACGGTGTGTTTTCTGGGTCTAGCTGTACTACAATTTAGACTTGCCTGCAGCTTATTTCTCGATAAGTCAGAGATAAAAATATCAAAGGACATTTAATAATTCCAGCTCTTTTTTTAGACCCGAATAACTGTTTAAAATAAAGGAGAATGAAGATAACTTAATCACTAAGTTTAGTTCACTTTCTAACGAAGATGACGACAATATTATTTTTCCAAACAGGCCAAAATTTAACAATACTTTCTGCGTGGAACTATAGCCAGATGATCAAAGCAAAAAGACTGCGAATGTTGTTGACATGTGGCCATTGCGTGTAACCACAGAGAGAGATGCTTCAAGTTCAACCATCCTTACTCTTCATTTGAACCGTTGTTGCATTATGGTTGAACCGACCACCGTGCCTTGCAGCGGTCACGTCACAGTGGGGTGGTGCGATCTTCAACCCCCGGCCCATGCCCGCGGGCTTTCGCCCCAATACTAACAGACCCGCTAACAATACCACCACCACCTCGCTCCGGAACCAAAAGGAATCAAAGGTACTTTTTTTTCTTCCTTTTACCAAGTTCCAACAAACTTTTCCTTTTCAACTGACGGAAGTTGTTGACAAACAAAGTGACTTGCGTATACCTTGTGCAACACGCCGGGTGTGCATTGTTGCGGGCACGTCCATGTCGTACAATTAAGAAATGAAGTATGCCATGTGATACCGTGGGACGGGTCTGTTTCGGGGCAGGCGACACTGGTTCGGTTGACACACGAAGCGATGGCTGGAAGACGAGGGAGTTGGCGCCTTGCTATGGGAACTCTATACGCTCTTCACAACTTTGGAGGCAACCAACAAGTCGTGCTCCATACGCCACCTTGCACATTACATTAATTAACTGCGGCCGCACCAGACTCTTTTTATAAATTCAATCTCAAAGTTAACATAAGAATATTTATGGAGCAATAACATATAAATGAACTTATACAGTAAAACGTAAAATGCATACTTCAAAAAAGCACATACAAGGTGACATAGCACCTTTTTAAATGGAGCCCCTTTAATTTCATCAATTTGCCCAAAAGGAACGTCGCCCGAGGCGACGTGTGCAGTGACCGAAATACAAAGAATAGCGTTTCGACATCAAAGGGGCCGGCGCGGCCCAAAACACACATCCAACTACCTACATCATTCTTTCAATATCAAAGAAAGAAAAAAAACGAAGTAAAGGAAAAAATACAAATTGATTTTGGATCGGAGATACACCAAGCGCACAAATCGTCATGGTTCAAAAAAGTGCAAAGAAAAGTACACGCGGATATGCAATTTCATGGGTTTTTTTTCACGGTGTTCCCATGGATAGTTTCCCACACGAGCGCAAAAAATGCAGAGAGCGGGTCACGGCGCTACGGTAAGAGGGGAGCTCTCTCGCTCAAGGCTGGTCAACTTCACGCTAGGCTTGTACTTGGCATCGCTGGAATGACAGGGACACTGGTCGAACCGAAATTAATTGGCTCAACGGAAACACGGATGAATGGGGGAAATGAATGCAATTAATCTCTTCCGGCAGTCAAGTCCATCACAAATCAATCGCACGTCATAAGTGTCACAAGTCAATGACAAGGTCGCACTTATTATTGGGGATGAACAATGACAAAGGAATGCCATTGCCAAAGCTTGTCACTCGACTTGGATTGTTTAAATTGTGGTTGACGTGATTGACTGTAGAAGTTGACTAAATGTCTGCATTACCCGAGTATTTTCTTACACCCCCGCCCCAAAATGACCCTACTCTTTGGGGACAGTAGTAAGAGGCGTATGAATAATTTTGCTGACCAAGCCTCCGAAAAAAAGGAAGGGGGGGGGGGGTTGAAGACAATCTGACTGATGGGGGAGCTGTTCGTAGCACACGATCTTGGACACTATCAAACACAGTTGTGTCCACAGGACGACGATTTTACCGACAAAAAACATTAAGGGTAGTTCACCCTCTCATATACAAGTGTGTACATGTATTTGCCTGCAATCGGGGACCCCTATTGTCCCTCTTTTGTTTGTACTAACCTTTTTTTAGGAAGACCTCCCATATATTTTGTACACGATGGCAAAATTGGGGACCTTCGGGAACTGGGGACCCTATATTGTCCTCTATTGTTCAACGTCCCCAATTGAATTTGTACACTAGGTAATATAATTTGCAACCATGATTGTGGGATGTTGTCAGCACTCCACATTGCAAATACGAGGCTTCACACCCCCCCCCCCCCCCCCCCCCCCCCCCCCCCCCACACACACACACACATCTATTGGCGGCCTAAGTGTCCGGAGAAAAAAAGGTCTAGATTTCAGCACGCCTGCCTGCAAAAAAATCTGGATCCACCCCTGCTAGCCCCCCTAAAAAATAGGCTCTAGAACCGCACCTGCTCTAGCGACATCCGTGGAAGCACCATTTTTCTTTAAACACTTCTAAGGGGGCAAGGGGAAGGGGCACCTTACAATGGTGCCCCCAATACGCAACTGACAGCAGTAAACAATAATATAGCAACATATTAAACTTCCACATGTTACAACAATAAAAGAATAACAGTATGGAACCACGACCTCTGTAAAATAATCATTTGTATACTTTATAGTCACACTTCAAGCTACATGTATATGCCTTTGGTACAAACATAACTTCACACGCCACACTATGGCCTTTTGCATACGGCAGCCATCTATGAGGTTTGTTGTTGTTGGCTCATACATATAGTTGGGTACTCCTGACTATAGGCTAATGTTACACATGCCTAACTGTATGGTGCAACCCTGCAAAAAAATCCCATAGACACTAGTGCTAAATGCGCATACTTCAAAATTATTTTTAAAATAGTCAGAACTCTCACAGGTATTCAAGCTGCACAGAAAAATGATGATCAATGTGTCATCTTTCATTTTCTTTTCATTTTTTGGTGGGTTGACCATTGACTTTTCGAGATATTCTCACCCAAAGAAGACCACCCCTATTTTCCCCAAAGCGGAAAAGTAGCCATCTTGAAAAACGATCCCTCCACAACATGGTAAACATAGCGCCACTTTCGAGCCCAGTAGCATCCAAAATGCTCAGAATTGAAAGCCCCAAGTCCGGGCCAGAGGTTCATTGCCAGTATCTCTTCAAGTCCCCAATTGTATGGCTCTCAAAACTCTCTAATATAGAAAATTTTGAGGGTATAACTTTTATTCATGAGCTCGGCGGACGGATTTTTGGCCTATTTACAGGCGTGCACCCGTATGGTCAAATTATAGTTAGGACTACCCAACTGTGGATGAGCCATAGTTGGTGCAGTGGCACAGTTGGGGTGTAACAGCTTCATATCATGATATCAATGAATGCACCAGAAGTCTTATCATCATGCATACCTTGCGAAACAAAAGCCCACCCTTCAAACATGGCTGCAATGGAAAGGATTATATTGCTTTCTGTTTGAATTGCTTGTTTTAATAGTTTGCACACAGTCAAAATATACAATATCTTATGGAAGAACCAAGTAGGGCCTATAAGTTATAAAATGACCAACATTGTATAACACATGATGAATTTCATGAAATTCTATTATCTAGGAAATTATCAAGGTACAGTTTATTAATTTTGTGCTCTTCACAATAGATTTTTTTTTCTTCTAACGAATTTTTAATTTGTATGGTTTGGTTTTCACGCACACAAAAAACTACTTTCCCCGAGTTTTGGCGTCGCAACCTCCGAAAAAGAGCTTTCATTTTGCGCAAACAATGAACCTGCCTGGCAAGAGCCGAATTATTGTGGGCAGCTAATATTTCGAACTTTGAAGACATTTGTTTGACTGAAATGACGACTATAGCGCTCCAACTGCTCAATTTTGGAGGACCGAAATGTTATACCACTATCATTCATCCTCACGGTTATTACACGAAAACAGCAAATTTCCAAGGTATGGTTGTGTGAACATTCATGTTCTACTTTTTAACAATCTTATCCAACTATAATCGTTTCGTGGTTTTCGAGCCCCAAAAGGCGCATTCTCTCGGAAGTCTCCTTTAAAAACCGCATGTCTAACTGCATGTAGGCCTATTCACACTGCACACTTCGCATAAGTATGTAAAGAATAAAAACAAAACTCAATGAAATTATTAGATATTCCACCACAATGCTGATCCATTCTGTATTTGTTTTCAAACATAATGATTCATGACTAAAATGGGATTTACGAATCAAGAATGTCTACACTACAGAACTTGGCCAGAAAAAAAATGCAACACTTTTACCAAAAGAGGGCGCCATTGCACAATGTTCATCACAGCTACCCACAGATTGGCAGGGTCATGTTTACCAAACCTCGGTTTTATTCTGGTTAAGCTTTAGAATATTTTCCCTAAATCTGGCCCATTATGTAGACCACATGCATGAACAGATTTCCAGTGGATTGCCATTCCTGCAGTGCGCCTCCAAGAGTTTGCCATGGAGAGTCCATTTTTCAAGTTTACGGTCGGCAAAACACGGCCCATTCGGAGATTCAATAGACAACTTCAGCTAATTAGTTATGATTGAGGCATAGAATTCTGCCGCCTTACAAAAAAAACACAATATTGATAAAAAGAAAAGAAAAGGGCAAACATATACTCGAATCAAATCATAAGCTTTCGAAACTACTGGCCGGAAAACAAACTATTTCAAACACCCCGCGCTGCGAATTTGTCGACCATCTTCCACAATGCACTTGCTTGGAAAAATTAACTCTCCGTGGCAAACTCTTGGTGGTGCACTGCATTATGAATCGTCGAGAATCAATGCACTCTGGGACCAGCACTACTAGGCTTTACCTTGTCTTGCTTTTCAAATGTACAATAGCTTCTACAGTCATGATACCTTGTTTAAAACAACTTTTATCCTACTTTTAAGCATTCTACAAAATCCTTCAAAAAAATCTTACTAAGAACTTAAAATTTAATACATATATACAAAATAAAAATTGTATATATATTATAGGCATCTTAGTAGTAAAACTTATTTGATTACATTATTTTGCACCATGATCAGTTTTGACTTTTAAATATTTCACTTCAATCGTGCATTTTCTTGCATTTGTTGTGCATTAAATTATATATTTTTTGCTTAATCAACTCCTTGACACTTCCTGAGAAGCATACACACACACCCTGAAAACCTAGCAAATAGAAATCTTCTAAATAGATACAGGTTACTTAAAGTTAAAATTAAAACTCAAATTGCAAAACAAATCTAAAACCCAGACTACGCAGAGAAAACTACAACGAAAGAAATACACTTTAACTAACTGCATACAGGGTACCCCCTCCCCCCTAAAGATATGTTTTCTTGATTTATTGTATCTACAGTTTATGAGGCTATCAAAATTGGTCTTTCCACACGGCATTGACCAATTATGTTAACCTCCAGCAATTGTTTTGTTCATTTCCCTAAAACCTTCACAGATCCTTCGAATCCACCAGCCCCATTTGGAGGATTTTGTAGGATTGGGGAAGGTACAGCCATGCCACTTTTACTTGACATACGGCTTTTTATGATCCATGGATGCTGGAGTGTATGGGCTCCACCCGTTACTAAAGAGAGGGAGCTTTCTGACCACTTTTGAGATTCCAGTGAACAGGACACACAGAGTGTGCATAGTCTCTTGTTTTACTATTCTCCTGAGGACAATGCTTTGTGTTTCCCTTTGTCCCTGTAATGTAACACTCTCCCATAGACTAAGCACACAGAGGATATGACAGAGGAGTGTTTTCAACAAAAGACCCAACTCCTGAGGACTGAAAGGATCTGTTGTTCTCCCTTTGTATGTCTGTCCTCGGGGGGTTATGTAGAACATGTACATACTGGTTCACGTACGTACAGGTTCATGCACGTATAGGGTGAAGTTGGCACGACTAATTAAATTATGAATGTGAGCAAAGCCAAAGCGTCTCAACATGAGTGTCAGGCGTCATTGGCAATGCCTTCTAATGTCTCTCCCAGTGGTCTCCCCCAACTCTCCCTGTCTTACTGTTGAGGGGGTTCTTGTGCACAGAGCCGGTACTCAGGATATACATTTTTGTTGTTTGAAATTAAGACTCCTTATTATTTTTGCTAGCAAGCCTTCAAAATAGAAAAAACTGTGCATTTAAACCAAATGGAACACTCTTTGCACTGAAAAACATGGGACCACAAACCCCACTGTAAAATAATGGGGTACGGGCTGTACAAACCTGAATAGATTAAATTATTGCAAACATTTGTGTTGGATGTTGAGTACATGTGTACTTGAGGTTCTTAAGGTTATGCAACTTAATAAGAAAATGAGCTGATGAATCGGTTCATATTCTTTCAATTTAAGCCAACACCACATAATGTACTAAAAAGTCTTCTTTATGGGGGGGGGGGTGTTTTAGATACAGTATAACTTAAATAGAGAAACACTTCAAACCTTGCTAGTAGAAGAAATGGAACAATTGCATTGCTCGCGCATAATTTAGCTACACTCGACTACTTCCTGAGTATTTGATGCGTCACTTCATGAAGTTCCTGGTAAAACAGAAAAGAAAGATGTTGGCAATTAAACCTCATAATAAAGAAGACTTAAGACGTCTTTGCTGACGTTCCCAAGGTTCCATGAACCTAGGCGGTTGTGCTAACCCTAACTCCCTAGGCATTTTTGCTTGGAAGTAGCCTCAATCCTGCAAAATCCTCCAATTGGCATCCTGGAAACATAGCACATATCCTCAATCCTGCAAATTCCTCCATTATTTCTTGAATATGGTCCGTGGAGGGGCGACCACTGCCTGAATCCTGCAAAATCCTGCAAAATCGTGCAGCAGTGACTGTCAATATGTTGAGGCTTGGCCAGTGACATCCTGGAGCAGTACGGAGGATTTCAAGCATAATCCAGGCCTATATTTATGCATGGCTGAGCAAAAACAACACAAGGTCCGGCCCCAAGACCTTGACATACAGACCTTTGGACACATACAGACACCACTTTATTCTGTTTTACACTTGCACTCTTGGGATGACTAATTGTAAACTAACACTTGCTAGGCTTTAGCTATCGTCCACAATCCTGCAAAATCCTCCAAACCTCCTGGAGGGTTCTGAAGAAAGTGGGAGGGTAACGGATTGCTTCCAAACTGAGTAAATAGGAATGGAATGTCTCCCGTCCTTAGAGGTGATGCAGTCTTTTGCCCTTACTGACTAAAATGCATGAACTGTACAGGGTGAGTAAAAAAAAAGAAACCCAAATGTCTATTGTTTTATTGACTGCATGTAACACTTTCAAAATCTAGGACATGAAAGCCCAATTCATAAGCTTTCTTTAAGTACAAGACTCATTCAAATCACTCATGTACTTTTCAAGTTACGGAATTTTAAACACAACCACCGTTTTAAAGTTCTGTCCACAGATCACCAAAAAATGTGCGTGTTCTTTCAGTGATTTGTTTTCGTTTTGCTGAAAGAACACTGAACTTTTTTGTGATCCTTGGACAGAACCTTAAAACGGTGGTTGTGTTTAAAATTCCGTAACTTGAAAAGTACATAAGTGATTTGAATGATTCTTGTACTAAAAGAAAGCTTATGAATTGAGCTTTCATATCCTAAATTTTGAAAGTGCTACATGCAGAACTTCACTAAAACAATGGTCCCAACAGTTGGGTTTCGGGTTTTTTTACTCACCCTGTAGATGGCATTTTTGACAATTTTCGGAAGCCCAAGTGGTAGGGATACACCGCGCGTGCGTACTGGTTCGCGCCAAATGGTGGGAAACCAGCACGCCCGTCTGCTTTCTGCAAAACTTGTTAGGTCTAAACGTGAGCAGCAGGTGCCCTTGGAAATGCGTTTGAATGTCCCTCACAGTGGTCCCCGTAACTCTCCCTATTAAACCATTATGTGGGGTTACTTGTTCGGGAAGTTCATGTAGAATTGGCATAGTTGAATATTCACCTGATGACTTCAGGTAGATCCGGTGCATCCACAATGTGCCTGTGCCCGAATCCTGCGTCTCCAAAGGAGTGGAAGGTCACTGGTGGTAAGGACTTAGCACGGTGCTCAACACTGTAATCGTACAGCTAAACAGATACAGAAAAATCAAGATTGTTAATCAAATAAGGTTTTGCCCTTTACCGACGTTTAAACACTGTTTACTCGGTGTGTTACCTCCCGAGGGAAAGTTGGAAAAAAATCACTCGGGTGGGACTCGAACCCACGACCTCCTGCTTTCTAGTGCAGATGCTTTACCACTCGACCACCGAGCTAACGGGATCGGTTGGCTGGTTCGAATCTGATGTACATAGCAGCGGGTACCGCATAAACTATTATAAGATGGAATTTTGCGTCGGGGTGATATAAATCAAATTAGGTTTTGCCCTTCAATTTATGCGGTACCCGCTGCTATACATCAGATTCGAACCAGCCAACCGATCCCGTTAGCTCGATGGTCGAGTGGTAAGGCATCTGCACTAGAAAGCAGAAGGTCGTGGGTTCGAGTCCCACCCGAGTGATTTTTTCCAACTTTCCCTCGGGAGGTAACACACTGAGTAAACAGTGTTTAAACGTCGGTGAAGGGCAAAACCTAATTTGATTTATATCACCCCGACGCAAAATTCCATCTTACAAGATTGTTAAGTTTTCTACCACAATATGGGGTTAACAGAAATAGGACAAATGCTACAAACTGTTTTAAAACAATAATGAATATTTAAGAAATAAATATTTTGGAGTAATTATGTGTTTCACATTCATATATCTTTGGTGGAAGTAGAGACCACACACCAGTGTTACAACAGGCGCGTGGGAACCAAAAACCCATAACTCTGTCTAAATTGTTCTATTACCATGATAACAATGGAAACTACCATGGGCCCAATTTCACAGCGCTGCTAAGCACAAGAATTTGCTTAGCACAAAAAAGTCTGGCTTATAAAAGCAGGCTACCAGCCAAAACTCCATGTGATATTCATGCTAAGCAAACAACAGCTGAATACTAATCACGAGCAATATACATCACGTGGAGTTTTGGCTGGTAACCTGCTTTTATATTAAAGCCAGACTTTTTTGTGCTGAGCAAATTGTTGTGCTTAGCAGCACCGTGAAATTGGGCCCCGGTTCCAGGCAATACTTACTCTTTTGCCCAGTTTGTAAGGAACAACAAAATCATCCTCCGAATGGATAATTAGCACTGGACATTGGACATCAAGGAGGCTAGTAAGGAGAAAAAAGAAAGAAACACATTCACTCAAGGGAAAATTGAAATGGAAAAGGACAGACAGCTTTCCATATGGATTTTAAAGTTGCATACCCCAAACTCTTCAAAAAATTGATTGGATTTTGTTTTTAATTTCAAATTTTTATGTTTTGTTTTAAGGAAAAAAAAATTAATCTCCATTATGGGCATCTGCAACCTATGAGAAATGCCTTTCATTTTGCGCTTATTGAACCAGCCCTGAGAGCCGAATTTGTGTCTGGAACTTCAGACAATAATTGGACATTTGTGAACACAAAATTCAATCAAACTAAAACCTCAGTGGATTTTTTCGTTCAATGTCTGATTCATAACCTTTATATTGCTACGAAAATTGCAGTTGAATTAAAACAAATCTATTCTTCGAGATGAAACTCGAAAATAGTATGGGGAAGACATCTTGAAGCTGTTTCCTGATGTGCATGTTGGGTCTAAAGTGTGACATTTTCCTCTTTCTGTTACCTTGGTACTTTGTAGTTTGTCATTCAAGTATCATTATATGAATGACTTCACACAATTTTTTATTTGTTGGGTTTGTAGTTTGCTGTTAATAATCACTCTTGGAGCACGATCGCATTAATTGGATCCCTAATTTATCGAATGACCCATATATAATTAATGAATGTTTATGAGTGCAAAATTGCATGAGCCTCCTGATATTTTGACATGTTGTTATCACATGGTACACAAAGAGTTGTTTCCTTACTTCTCCTTACTGTCGAACATTGCCTCCTCTTCCTCGTAGGCTTTGCTGATCAGCGCCAAGCATCCTGGTACAAACCGCCATGGCTGGGGGGTTATTGAGAAACATTCAAGCACTTTACGATAAAAACTGAATGAGCAGTTGAAGGATACTTTACAATAAACAATGAATGAGCAGTTGAAGACTCCTGGGTCATAAAAGGCTAAACTTCAGGTAGCAGGCATGCAACTGGCAATTTAAAGGGGAAAAAACGAGGAAACTCCAAACCACACAAGACTTTGTGCACTGTTTTTCAATTTGTAATGGCATTCATGAGAAGTAAAAAAAAAACGAGAAGCAGTTGAAGACTCCTGGGTCATAAAAGGCTTAACTTCAGGTAGCAGGCATGCAACTGGCAATTTAGAGGGGAAAAAACGAGGAAACTCCAAACCACACAAGACTTTGTGCACTGTTTTTCAATTTGTAATGGCATTCATGAGAAGTAAAAAAAAACGAGGAAATCAGCGGATCTAAGAAAAAGTTGCATTCCTGAGGTAAGAAAGCTCCACGTTAAGTACATGTATTTTGCAGTGAGAAATGTGAATAAGACAGTCAAGAATATTATCACTCACCACAGTGAATGGGTGGTTCATCATGGCGTCGTGCATGCTGCTGTACGGAGATTCTAGGATCAAACCCTGTGGACACAACCCTGCAATGTGACAATGCACAGACATTTGGCAGTCATATAGTTTGCTCAAAGGAAGGTCCCAAAAATGTAAATGCAGAGTTAATATTTCATAGTTCTAGCACAAAATCTTATCTGACAGCACAATGTCAGAAATCAATCAATAGATTTAGCTCTTACACTAAACACTTTCAGATTTCCACGTGCTCCCATTTTGAATGCACAATACATATACAGTCAACTCTCGTTGGTACAAACTCTGTTAATACAAAATTCTGGTTATAACAAACATAAAGCCTTGGTCCCGACTGTGCATTTATGTGCACAATGAATGGGACTGATGTTCCTCTTAATATAACATTCTGATATAACAAACAATTTGGCTAGGTCCGAACAAGTTTGTATTAAAGAGACTCGACTGTAGTTTAGATATCAGAATTGTGCTTTTTCGGGGCAGCATGAGTTTGACATTAACAGACAACACTGACCAACTACATGTAGAATCGTACCTGATTTGCATAGTCTTTTCACCATTGCGCTCCCAATCCTAAAAATGAAAAAAAAAAAGTTTGGAGAAATGACACAAACACAGAATTGGGATACAATGCAGAGTAGCTAAGGGAGCAGAATTTTTTTATTTATTTATTTATTTATTTAATTCTTATTTTAACTGGAGGTGGGTAGCCCACTCAGTCTTGAGAAGACAATGTGAAGAAATTTCAGTTTTAAAGAGGTTGTGGAATGCTCGAAGACATTTCCCTCATTTGTCGGGTATATGTAGCCTAAGATGTGATGAAATAAAAACGACTATTGTTTCTGTCATAAAATGAGTACAAAAGGTACTTTTGAGAGCTGTTTTTCAAGTCCTGTCATGCTTGTTTCGACCCAAACGTGCAATTTGTGTAAAAGTCGTCGTTGCGGGCAGCAAACAAAACACAGTAAATCGTGACGTAATAAACAGGACTCCCGATGCAGAGTAGCATAAACGAGTCATGTTTATTACGTCACGATTTACTGTGTTTTGTTTGCTGCCCGCAACGACGACTTTTACACAAATTGCACGTTCGGGTCGAAACAGGACCTGAAAATTAGCTCTCAAAAGTACCCTTTGTACTCATTTCATGACAGAAACAGTAGTCGTTTTTATTTCATCACACCTTAGGCTACATACATCCCAAAAATGACGGAAATGTCTTCGAGCATTCCACAACCTCTTTAAATGTAACCAAGTCATTGTACGAGTCAATCACATTTACAATGTAGGTCACAAGAAACAGGGGACAAACTAGATCAAAGGAATGCCTTTGTCATATTTCACTTGAGAAGCTTGACGTTTGACTTGAGATTGGACTTTCGATGGGCCTTGTGATGGACTGAAAGGTGACACTACACCTAGAGGACTTTCCATAAAGGGCCATCAATACTGCCACCAACTGTCAGATGGCGTCCAGCTGCCACTCACATTGAGAAGTGTCCTCACCTGTCAGATGCCCCCACCCTAGGGGTGTAACTATGCCAAAGTTCGTATATGACACGTATCACAATACTAAGGTTACGATACAATGCATAAAGCAATACATATCATAAACTCAAGTTCTGGCAGCTATTTGACATGTACATGTATGCAATCCTTGTATTCATTTAAAGGTTGCTCATATTCTGTACAAATATGCATTGTGTTATCTTTTTCTAATGTTAGCAATGCTTAACATTGCCACAGCTGCTTTTTTGAGTTCTAGACTTTCGTTTTTGAGGTACAACAGCGCCAGCAGAAATTGTTTTGTTTTTTTTCCTCAGGGGAAACTTATTTATTCAGAAGAAACGTTTCTCTTCAGAAAAAACGTTTCTCTTCAGAAAGATTCTGTGCCAATCCTGTTAGCACAGAATCATTAGTTATGGGCTGTACACATGCACATAAGGCAAAAATTCCCCTCCAATTCATAAAATATGCTAACCGTAAACACTGAATTTTCTGCTACAGTCAGTGGGAATGTTTCGCTTTTGGTAAGTAGAGCAATGAAATTGGGTCCCGATCTTACCCACTGCCCATGGAGTGGCCCCATACATAGATGGGGGCGCCCTTGCTCCTCTCCAGCACCCATCTATAGGAAGACTCAGCGTCATCTACGACTCCCTCAGCTGAGGGCCAACCACTGGAATCACCAAAGCCTTGAGGAAAAAAAGCAGAGGACGGAATCAGAGAAGGAAGGTGTGAATGGATCAGATAATGGCCAGTAGGTTTAACTTAAATGCATACAAGTTAAACTTACATGGACAGTTTGCACCTATTCAGTTTCTGTTTGTGGATTTTTTGAAAATTTGTATTAAAAGGCGTATCCTCTCTGAGTGATCCCTGTTGGTTATTTCCCACTTTGCAGCATCGTAGCTTTGGGCGTGATCCCTGCCTACACTGCATATGAGTTTATGGCTGATGTACATTAAGTCATTAAAGCTATAGTCCATCATTTGCAGCTATCCGAAAAGTAACTGGCGTAATTATTGTTGAAAAACATACTTGGTTGAAAGATAGTAAGGGGACTAAACTCCCTGTGAAATTATTCTTAGTCATTTTGAAGTAATCAACGAAAGAAGGCCTTTCCAACGGTGCTTCTTAAGACGCACCGTAGGAAATTTAAATTAGTAGTTCGTTTTGTTATTCGGTGAAGCGCGTGCAAGCATTGGCACGACGCACACGCACGCGCGGTTGTTACAATTCGTCGGATCAGTGCGTGACATAGCGTACCTGCAATCGGCTCAGTGAAAACGTGTCTCGGACGCTGAATTCAGGCCCAATTCAAAACATGATTCAGCAACTTTTGATTCGAAATTGAGATCCTAGAATGCTGTTTTTCTAGGAATCTAGAGCTGAAGCTGAGCTGAAACTTCATCGGGTTAGTTGTTCAGTACCCTTCTTTAGATTTTGAGCACTTTTTGTTGCTTCAAAAAAACAAAATGCACAAATTACAAATGATGGACTATATCTTTAACATATTAGATAAATTATGTACATGTACATTAACATATTAGATCAAAGGTGGATTACTGTACATGTTAAGACTTGACAGTTTCTATCATGGATACGCTGTGACTTTTGAAATAAAAAAATAAATAGACACTGTGGGATTGATAAATCAAATGATAACTCAGAAGTCTTCTGAGGTTATGCCACTTTATCTTCAAGCCATCCTCAATCGTCGATCAATGGCAACAACAGTGTGATTTCATTCCATATAGCACGGTCCGTATTGCACTCCGTGCACCACTCTATTCTAAGGTGCGTGCGCTATTTCTGCTGCACGTGTGTGAAAAGGAATCCGCGGAAAACGTTCGTACAGCGCGCATCAATTTTGCTTGAAGATACATTTGTTATCCCACTCGGGCTTGTGGAAAATGTAGAGCGTCGTGTTCCATATGGACACAGACACACTACATTATTCCGTGTTCCACTCAAGCTCATGGGATAACTAATAGCATCAAATACAGGTCCTGTTTCAATATTTCACTCATGCATGCAGTGCACACGTACCTCTGTAGTCGAGGGCTACTACATGGAAGTCCATTCCAATAAGGAGACGGTACAACAGCAGACGATGATCTGCAGCTCTGTATTGTTCAGGAAGAAAAATTCTTGTGAGTAAACAAATTATTGTTAAGCCAAACCTACAGGAAAAAAATAGCACTTGTGCACCATTATTTTCATGTATTGAACTGGTTTGAGACAAAGAAACATTTCAGTACATTTCTGCAAAATGAGAGTTACTTAAGAAGGCCTCAAAAGGGAATCTACCGCTCTGAGAAAGGGCCAACATTTTCCTGACAAATTAAGGGGCCTTTAATCTCAACTCCCCAATATGTTCAGACACACTTTATCAAAATACAATTAGCCAAACTGTGTGAATGACTGAATGTGAACACGAATTCCACTTTTTTTTTGCAGTATCTTATTAACTACATGTATGCACACCTAAATGTATCAAAGGTGCACACTAAACATGTGGAAGATCTCAGCTTATCAAGAAGATCAGCCTTGAGGAAATTCTTGTGACCGTTTGGTAATGAGAGAAGGGAAACGTCCAATTTACTGGGCGTGTTGTATCATTAAGATGAAACTGTTCAGACCATGGCAGGTTTGGGCCCTCACAAAAAAGGAGTAAACATCAACTAATTTTGTAGTCCCAATTTTATCAAACGAGAGCCACAAGCGAGCTTTCCTTAAATGTTAATCTATTTGATAATTCTGTGGACAATGCAATCAAAATAACAAAACTTTATTATATAGAAATGATAGCAAAACAAGTTTATAATTATAATCAAAACTTCAAACATGTTTAATCTATTGAGATCAGCTACATGCTGTACATGTTATCAGGGTGTTTCTAAAATAATTTTGTGATATCAGTACACGTGTGTGAATAAGATGTCCCACATATGCAATGATTGCTTAAAGGATATATTACTTCCAAATCCATCCAAGTGTATATACATGTACATTAAAATGCTGAAAAATTATACCAACCTGTATTTTAAAGGCATATATCGTTTGCTTTACATGCATTTTGTTCATTTCCAATAATAACACCACTCAACATGCAAAGAAGACTATTAAAAACCTAACCTGTTGAAGTTTCAGCTCAGTGGATAAGTTTTTCAAGAAAACAGTGAAAAATCGTGCACAACCTTTTATCAGGAAGCACGATTTTGTCTACCTTATTCTTTATTTCCAAAAATATGTCAATGGACTGATCTTTGGACATCATGTTCATTTCTTGTTTTCTTCCAAATGACAGCAAGGCAGAAGGAATAATTTCAAGCCGTGTACCAGTACAAGTACGATCTTTAAAGCTACAGTCCATCATTTGCAGCCATCCGAAAAGTAACTGGCGTATTTATTGTTGAAAAACATACTTGGTTGAAAGATAGTATGGGGACTAAACTCCCTGTGAAATTATTCTTTCTGGCAAGCTGTCATTTTGAAGTAATCAACGAAAGAAGCCCTTTCCAACGGTGCGTCTTAAGACGCACCGTAGGAAAATTTAAATTAGTAGTTCGTTTTGCTATTCGGCAAAGCGCGCGCAAGCATTGGCACGACGAACACGCACGCGCGGTTGTTATGATTCGTCGGATCAGTGCGCGACATCGCGCATAGCTGCAATCGGCTCAGTGAGAACGCGTCTCGGACGCTGAATTCAGGCCCAATTCAAAACATGATTCAGCAACTTTTGATTTGAAATTGAGATCCTAGAATGCTGTTTTTCTCGGAATATACAGCTGAAGCTGAGCTGAAACTTCATCAGGTTAGTTGTTCAGTATCCTTCATTAGATTTTGAACACTTTTGTTGCTTCAAACGAACAAAATGCACAAATTACAAATGATGGACTATATCTTTAAGACTATATACAACCATGTCCTTTCCAAGTTTGTTCATTTCCCTCCAACACTGATCACTACAAATATCCAGTCGCAAATCTTTTACAAGGACTTTTTGTGAATGTCTTGTTTACCTTGACCCTGCGTTGCCATGGAGATAGAGTATTATTGGTTTACCATCACCTAGTGCCTCATCAAACTGGCTGTCGTCTTGTATACTGCCACCATTTTGCAGGGACTGCGGTAAAATTTGCCTGAGAAAAACAACATAGATAACAGAATGTCAACATGTAGGTTATGAAACTTCTGCATAAAAGTTGAGCTGTAAATATCTCTGTTCAGAGAATTTCCTCGGTTCCCTGTTCAAACACAGAACATCCATGTACATGTATGTATACTATGTTCTATACTGTGGACCGATCCGGTCACGCTATCACTTACCACAAAAGGCACAAGGGAGCCTCCTGAGTGTATGGTGATCACATCTATAGTAATAGTTTTTTTATACTATACTATTAGAAGCTGTTAACATACATGGTACTATGCTCACATTTTTGAAAAAGAAATTATTTACTGGGATTTAATCGACAACACCTTTCAAGGTTTTCTTGAGTTAGTGCCCTGTTGAGTCCAACAGAATTCACAATTTCAAAATTTGCTGAATCTTGGCTGAAAATGGTAAGCGCGCCAAATATCTGAAGCCGATAGGAGAGTTAGGGATATACATATGTAGTTGCACTTAATAAAATTAATGCTGCTTATCTCAACAGTATAAAGCTGTCAATACAAGGATAATACACTGAACAAGCAAGGTTAAGTTAGCCGAGTGTTTGAATTGAAATCTCATGTTCCAGGTGCGAAACGGTATTTAGATGATACATACGTGTATAAAAAAAAGTTTGCCCACGGGCACATGTTTTGGTACCATTTACAAAATGTAATATGTGGAATATGGAGCAGTTGATACCAGCCGTACCAGTATCTTCACTTTGAGGAAAGATTTTGTAATTTAACTGGTAGGTACAACTGTACTATAAATTTGTAGGTGATTGCAAATGATCTACATACATGTATGTACGTACATTGTTACTGTACCTTTAACACTGTACAACTGCAAAAAAAAAAGAAGTGAGTAATGAGGCTATCAAATGTTTCCCCCAACCCTCCCCCCGCACTGCCCCAGGTCCGATGTCGGGGTTTGGTCACATTTTTCATGCCCCAGGGTGCTGATTTTGGTCACTCAAAAAGGTTGTCACCATTGGCGTACTACATGGAAAGGCAAACAATTTTGTCACTTCAAAAGTGACAATCCCCACTTCTTGGGTGGGCAGCCCGGGGAGGGGGTGGGGGGGGGAGGGGACAATTGATAGGTGTATAATGCTATAACAGCTTCAGGTAGAGTGTTGACATTGAACTCTGCAGATCACAGGGTCCAAATCCATTTAGTGCCGAACCGCCGAACCGAACTAAAAATAGCCGAACTTGGCCTTCTGAACCCAACCCGAACCCAACCCAATTATTGCTACCAAGCAAGTTTTAAGTGCTCATCAGGGCAAGCTTGGATGGGATGGAACTCGTCGGGAAAACCGTCAGCACGTGTGGGAACATTTTTTATCATAGACTGCCAGGCCGGATGGGGCTGCGATAGGTAACACGGTAGCAATACCGATGTTCATTTCTCAACGTCATCAAGTCGAATTATAACGATATTTTGTTTACACAACAAAAATTAGATTCATCCTTCAACTTGTGAACTTGTATAGCATGTGGAAATTGCGGAGCCTATTTCTGTCAGACGTGCGCGCAACACACATGTTTGTTTGAACAGGGTAACGGCCTATATGCTTTTCATTATAGCCCAATACATTGTACGGTACCATGGACATGATGGACATGTACATTATGAATGCACTTCCGAAGCTGACCCAAACCGAAGTTCAGAGAAAAAAAAATCGATCCGCAAACGAACTGAACCGAACCGAACTTTGAGGGTCAGTTCCAGCACTAAATCCATTTCAGTCTTTGTTTCGACAAAAAGAGTTCAAATTTATCTATAGATAAAACTCACCACATGCCCAACCGAATGCTGGGGTCAGGTGGTAGGGTGCCAATGTGGAGATTCCTGGCTCCTGTTAGGTTCTGCTGCTCCGGGTATTGCAAGGACGGCGAGAAAGGGTTTTTCACTGGTTATCAAAGTAAAAGAAGACACAAACGTGGTTAGCTTCCATAAAAAATAGTCTCACTGTTTCTCTTGGAAAGATTTCCATATACGAAGTTCACTCAACACCCTGTGTACAAACCCTATGAGATTGGACTGAAAAATTCTAAGTGTTTTCTAAGAAAATGCTTGTATTTTCTCACTGCTCAAATTGACTTTGATGACATGAAATTGCTATCTGGGGGCTTGTTAGTCAATACAGAGGAAAATTAGTGACCTTCGTATATGGAAATCTTTCCTTTCTCTTGAATACACTGACAATCACAAAGGCATATTTTCAGCAGAAAACCACGTGTGCAGTGTGTATGTACTCATCAAGATGAAAAGTGTATGCCTGTATGAACACCCATGTTTGTTTAGGCCAAAAAAAAAAGTCTCCGGTTTCTGGTATGGAGCTTGCCAAAAAAGTGGTGCGGCGACGCGGCTTTTTTTTTTTTTTTAACCTGATTTTTTTGCTTCAAATGTCGGCTGATGACTGCAAATGGTGCCCGACTAAACTTAGTGCAAATATATGGGAGTCCAGAGAGGCCACATAAAGCTTATTCTCGACCATAACCCAATCTAAAAACACGTTAAAATTATGCAGCAGGATTCCATTCAAACCAGTGTTTGGCAGTTTTGAGACATCATCTTTCATTGAAAAAAAAAAACTTTTTCATTTTGCCGACGCGCATGGCTACGGCGACGCGTGTGCATACCAGAAACTGGAGATTTTTTTTTTGGCCTTATGGTGTAAATCGAGGATTTTCTATTGTTCCTCTTCCCTTTTTCCTTTGTTTGTACTCAAACTTTTTTGCAACAGCTCTCATTTGTTTTGTACATGTTTTCTAATGAGGAGTCCTCAATTTGGTTCCTGTCCTCAATTCATTGATGATGTTGTGTCGTGGATTTACACCATAAAACAAACGCACACAGACTGTGCTGATTGGCAGTTCTGTTGAAATGAAAAAATTTCTAAGTGAAACCTGCAGTATAAAATAAAAATAAGATTAAAGTTTCTCATTATAAGGTTTTAGGTTGAGATTGGACAGTGTACATGTAGTCGAACATGTGCAACTTATTTTCTTCACCCAAATGTAGTGCTTAAAATACTCCTAAATTTTCTAAGTCATTGTTGACTATATAAAGTGTACACAAATAAATAAAATGAAGCCATTGATCAGTACAAATACACAAATCACCATTTTGACACCGACACTGTACTATAAAGGTAATACAACCGAACGAATGCCACCCCCCCTCCCCCCCAAAAAAAACAAAAAACAGCCGCAGGTCTGGTCCATTTTTCCTCACAATCAAACTTTTCTAGTGCAAGATGTCTTTCCACTTGACCACCGAGCTTGCGAGATCGGGTGGCTGGATTCGAATCTGATGTACACACAGCGGGAAACCGCTATTGAAGTATTCACAAGATGGAATTTGCATTGGGGTGAAGTAAATTAATAGGTTTGGACAGATTTCCATATACGAAGTTCACTAATTTTCCTCTGTATTGACTAACAAGCCCCCAGATAGCAATTTCATGTCATCAAAGTCAATTTGAGCAGTGAAAAAATACAAGCATTTTCTTAGAAAACACTTAGAATTTTTCAGTCCAATCTCATAGGGTTTGTACACAGGGTGTTGAGTGAACTTCGTACATATGGCAATCTTTCCATAGGTTTGCCCTTGTTGAAATTGGTAGGGCACTCACCAATGTTTAGGTATAGGAACTGCTTTGACATAAGTGGTACCACCGGTGCTAACCCGGGGATAAGGAAATATACAGCCACACAGCACAACACCGTCGCCTTGGCAATGGTCTTCCATGATGCTGGTCGGGGCCTGAGGGAGAGTAAGAATAAGTCAAGAATGAAATTTACTGCTGCACTGTTTTGCATACAGGTATCTGTATCTGTCTCTGTATGGCTTCGTAAGTTCGTTGCAACTTGCAGAAACCTATTCAGGCATTGGCGCAACGGAGTACTGAGGTACTCAAGGCACTGGGAGTTATGTCTTTTGTTAGATGAATGAAGTACATGAGAGATATGAGACCCATTATGTGGCACCAGGGTTTACAAAGTGCTGTGGCCACTGCCAGAAACACCAGGGCAAACCCCTTCTCTTAGCGACAAGTGTTACTGGGTTCTATTAGTATTACACAACACACGTGTGTTGTATAATGTCTAATGCACGTTAAAGAACCCAGTACACTTATCGCTAAGAGAAGGGGTTCGCCCCGGTGTTTCTGGCAGTGCGATTATCTTCAGCCATGAAGTCTGCACTTGTAAGGAAGGAAGGAAGAAAGGAAGGCTTTACATCCCATCCGAACATGCCGAAGGATGAAGCAAAAACATATGATGAAAAAAAAATATTATTAATTTCTAGTTATGACACATAAAGTGAATTCTTGCTGGTTTTTTCCTTCTCTGTGGCAAAATAATATGAGATGAAAGAAAATGTGTACTAACCTGCTATTGCTACACAAACTCTTTGAGTTCGAATCGCCATTCACCACGCGAACTGCTCTATGATCATCATGATCATGTACACTGCCGCTGTTCAACACAGTGTTCCCATTAGCGACATTTTCCCTCCCATTTAATGTGCTTTTCTCACGATTTCTCCGTTTAGTTGGCATCACTGATCGTGTGTATAAATTATCTACGAATATTAAAAGAACTGGGTAAATTCCCTGTTTTGCCGGTTGTAACCACGCGGACAAGTTGAATGAATGATCAGATAAGTGCAGTTATGTAAATTTATCGCAGATAAAAAAGATAAACAAACCGACTAGACTCCTTTCAAGCAATTCAGCGCTGAATTAGAGATTGGGTGCTAGACATGAAAGCGTAGACTCCACTCTAGTCGTCTTCCACTTCCATGCAATGGCTCAACATAGTAGGGCTCCATGGTTCTAGCAACGCCGTGGGCTCATATTTGAAGAGGCGTATTGGCTAGTCTATGCACATGCGGAAATGATTAATCACTGTGACGTCGCTGAATATTGATAAGTGGGCAACTACGCGTAGAGCATCACGAGTGGATGATTATTATAGAGCTATATTAAATCAATTTAATACAGCTCTATGTGTGAATTAAACTAGGGGGAATTTTTTTTAAGACTTTTTTTTTAAATTGTCTACAGCCCACAGTTTTACTCAGCAAATTAAGCAATTAACAACTCGTTATAAAACCCATGATACCGCCGGTTAATATAAATATCGCGCAATTTTGATACGTTCTTTTTTTGTATACATGTGCCAAATTATACTCAAGTTACATGACCAAACGTACTCTGCATGCTGGCGGAGTGCAAAACCCACTCAGTTAATGTTGGCCAGCAGAACGTTGGCTAGTAACCATGATTTTATAGACATCGCGCAGCCTATTGTACCCGTTTTCTTTGAAATATACTTGTATTGCGATAAATGTGTTAATTAGATTTAATGATAGGCACCTTCTTCATCATTAAATCTAAAGACTACAATGTATTTTCGTTTTTCAATCTTTGAAATGTTATAGGGGGTCGGAATTGAGACTCCATTAAAACTTAGACTATCATCAACTACCTCGTAATACTATAATTGTAATATTTTATCTTTCCCTTGTGGTTTTGATATTTTTCTTTGACATCTGGTTTGAATAGGCCCTAATGATGATTCTATCTCCGCTCTTAACGACCACCCGATACACTGTCTTTTTTTTTAAGATTTAAACTGGACCTAGCTTTTATTCGCTGTACAAGCCTCAATGTTTTTTTTTTTTTTTTTGCTCGTCCTTTTTCCAATTGCAATAACCGGTAAAATACTTCTTTCAACTTAAATTTGATAGAGCTGTCTTATTAGGAGCTCATTTCATATTATCATATATTTTTTAATTTAAAGACGCGCCAAGCGTCATTTAGGCTACACAGATTTTTAATCTATACTAACTGTGAAAGACTGTTCTTTATTATTTTTCACACTGTGTAGACCACAAAGGTAAATAATATTTCTGCTATAAAGAATATTGCATTTTAATTTGCAAGCAAGGTTCGACAAAGACGAAGATTGCCAAGGCTAGGAATGGATAAAGCCGCACTCAAGATTGTATTTCCAAATATAATTTAAGAACCCTTACATTAAAGACGCGCCAAGTGTCATTCAGGCTACACCGATTTTTAATCTATACTTGAAAAACATAACAGACGACAATTACACCAAAACGTCACTATAAAACTCACGTTTACAGGGCTACGCTATTCGAATGTGGCCGTAAGGTGCGACGGTCGAAAAATACGTCAAAATATCCAAAGATGCAGAGTTGCCACAACTCATGTTATAGAGTCGCTGATAGCTGAACAGCAAAGACGTTAACCTCATACTATTAAAAAAAAATCAAACTCCTGTTCGCTTTGCGAACAAGGATTTACCCCACTTCTCGAATCTTTGTCAGTGCGACCAACACCAAAAAAACCCCAAGACGAACCAAATAAAAATACATGTACTTGTTTACAAATAAAAGGGAGTTTAAATGCGTAAACTGCAAATAGAAGATTAACAAATTCAGATTAACAATTTTAAATATATAAATTCAGAAAGGTCAGAGACCACTCTGCCACGTTATGGGCAAATATAGAGGCGCTGCGCATATGCTATCTAAATAATAAAAAAAAAAACTTAAAACAAATTAATAAAAGAAAATCCTTATTGCTGAAATTTAGGAATGCGTGAAACCAAAAAGCGAGGGGTGGGGGGGGGGGTGGATGTGAAACGATCATGAGCACTGTCCGACAACAGGTGGCGATCTTCGTGGCGGCAGAATTGCCGACGTTGGCGGAAAATATCACTCGTGAAATAAGGCACTTTTGAAGAAAAAATTAGGGTACTTGTCGAAAAATAACATTCGTGGGAAACGTATACCTCCCCGGTCCCCGGATGCTACGACACTATGTTAAAACGCTTTCAAATCCAACTGGGGGAGGAATATCGAACGTCGGCAGCACGAGATAATTCTATAGGCAAACAACAATACCTGCCAGACTACGACCCAGACAAGTAGTCTTCGTATATAGCCTATTATTGTATCTCCATATACCAATCATTTATACGGTAGGGCCGTGAGTCAATAACTATCTTACAAACAAATGGATAAACTCAAAGAAATTTACGAGTTTGGACCGAAAGTCATCATGGCGACTACATCTTCAAAACACGAGCGTCATTTTTCACCATGCACGATCTACATTAAATCAGAAAATAACACCATTTACACCGCGTCACAGACTAATAACTGTCATAAAGTCCGTTAGACACAAAGAAACACTAATTAATACCGTCTGGACCAGACGATATTAATTAGTACCCTCAGACACCCCACGAGAATATGAATATTTAACTAAATAATATTTTTCATTCTATACGGATGCGCTGGGCATGCCTACTTCAATGTAACATTCAAATTTCAAAAAGATCGTATTCTGATACCCATCATTTGTCACAATCTGGAACGTTAGGATGCACATTTGATTATGCCAGGCAGTTCTATACTCACGACGGCAAATTGACGCGCATTGCTAAAAGAAAAACAATCCGAAAGGTAGTAGGCCTGTATGTATGTGCTTGTATACATGTCACTTTCAATCATTCAATCGAGATTTATAGACTTGTTTAATTTGATGGCGACGTCGTTAAATAAATTGATCAAAGCTTGTCCAAAAGAGTCGCTTACTTTATTCAGAGATTATTTATATTATACCGATGTGCTTCTACAAGAAGGCGTTTATCCGTAAGTATATGGACTTGTTTGATATATTTAGGCCTAATCAAACCTTCTTATACCAATTGTCCAATTTTACAGCAATCTCAAAGACGAACATACTTCAAAAGATGATGACGTCAGAGCTCAACAAATATAGCTGCAAACTTTAACGTGGCCAAATATAAATATCACGCCTTATACGTGACTAGACAGACACGCTTGGGTGTACTTGCCGGTGTGTTTGAGAATTGTAGGCAAGTGTGTAAAATCGTCTACAAGTTCGATCCGGCTTGTTGCTCAGCCCCGGGTTATCGCAGGCGTGTAGCAAGGACATGTTTTCCCCTTTGAGGGGGGGGGGGGGGGGGGGGGGGGTAGACGTATAAGCAACCTCGTCCCCAGTGCTTACTTTATTTCCAACCTCGTTTCCAATAGTAAGCCTTGGATAGCAAACTTTCTTCCTGTATCGTGATTCGATACCGGAATTTGCTAGTAATGGATTAATATCGTGTAGTTGGCGTTGTTATTTCCGTGCATTACGTGTTTTCACGATTATTGTGATTATAACGTCCACGCCTTCTCAAAAATACTCCTTTCCTTTCCAGTTTGCTCATATTAATAGGAAATGTGATACTGCATATTGGCGGGCCAGATTGTAACATTTTAACTTAAAAAAACCCGTATTTTCATAACTCACGGCGCGAAGAAGTGATGCTGTTTTTATCCCAGACACCGTATACAAAAACAAACGCTAATGTAGCGCACATGCAGGCACCAGACTATTCTCATTTGCATACGTGTTCAAAAATCTTGCACATGCAAATGATCCAATACCAGGGTGAGAGAGCAGGTAGTGGTGGGCGCGTACTGCTCGACACCCTGGGGACGAGGTTGACGTAAAAGGGCACTTTGACCATAACTAAATCATCCGTGCTGAAATTTAAAAAGCATATAAAATCAAACCACCGGGGGGAGGCGATCACGGGCACTACGGGACAATAGGTGGCGCTCGATCTTCATTGCGGCAAAACTGCTGTGGGAAATTATGGGGTTGGTGGGTTAAATACATACCACTTACCCCCACTACTCAAATCAAATCAACACTCTGAACTCCAACTGGAGCTGTTGACGGACGTAGACAAGTAGGCTATTTGTTTGTCGAGCAATCAAAAAGAAAACGAATATCGAGCGCCGGTAGCACGCGATATTTCAAGGCAAAAAATCAAATACCTGCCAGACTACGACCAAGGCTACGACCTAGACAAGCCGTCGTCGTACATCATGTACATGAGTCTCGATACCAACAATTTATACGGTTGGGCCATGAGATACCTTTTGCAGAAAAAGTTAAATGGGCTAACCCAAAGCAAGTCACTACCGAGTAGGCATACATCACGTCGCTTCAAACACGGGGTACATGTTCGAGGTACATCGCATAAGAAGGCACTCACGGCTGATATGACGTCGTATATTGATAAAAAAAATACTCGACACGACAAAACAGAACAGAAAGTCGGACCTGGAAACAGATTTCTTCACGCTGCACTGATGAACAACTCGGTGCATGTTTGGCAAGAAAACTCAAACATGACTGTGTCTAAACCAAATAACAATTCGATCACCACATTCGAAGAATGTCAATTATCATTTGTTGAAATGTACAAAACTAAAACGGTGTTTAAATCAAACCGATGTACTGCTGAATACTCATCTTGGATTTGTCAAAAACTACTTTCAGTCACATGAAAACTATGTACGGATACCGAGTCAGATTAATGTACACCGACACAGACTTATTCACCATTTATACATACGACGCACACGAAAATATGAAAAACTTGAACTTGTACGATTTCTCGAACTACAAATCGCACCACAAGTTGTACAACGCTAACAAATAAAAAGGTCATCGGTCATTTGAAAGACAAGTAGGACGCAAAGACATTAATTATTACGACTACATCTTCAAAACACGAGGTCATTTCACAAGATATGAGTCAACTTAATCAGAAAATCACATTGATTTATACTGTGTCACAGACTTAACTGTCA